TAAAAACTTGACTTTTGGGAGTTGTTCTCATCCTATGACACCTTGATAACGCCAGTAGTCACTTTCTTTAGTGCCTAATCCCACTTTGTTTCACTATGCTAAAAGGAAGTCCCATCGTTTTCATCTCAAATAAGCAAATATCATACTCAAAAAAAGAGGCCAATAAGACTCAAGGATCTTAGAATTTACCAGAAGGACCCATGCCATCAAGGTATCTACAGTGCGGGTTCCAAGCATACACATCAACCAAATGACCAAACCTGTCAGCAAATAAAAGTATTATCATAAAATACTAAATTCCTGAACATTTTTTCCACAAGAGTACATTGTTTCACTGCACTATCGTGAAGGCGAATGATACATTGTACTACTTCAAACTATGTTGTACTACATTACCTATCACCGCCATTTCCCTCTCCGTTATCTATGGGATTGCCACCATAAAGCCTTCCAGGTATAGCATTTCCAATAGAAAAGTGCATAATGTCAACTTCATGTCCCTTGCAGGTCTTGTTAGTGCAAGAGTCCCTTTGTTCTTTACAGCCACCCATCTTGCACCACAGTAAACTATTTCTCAACTTTCAAACTTGCAACAAAGGGAAGCTAACAAATAGTATAAAAGAAAAATAAACATGGCACAGGATAAAATAACTTACATTATGATAAGTAGCAAGGTCGCCAATTTGAAACATGAGAGCTACAGATGGACATTTGGCGTTGTCCCTGCATTTAAGAGTAGAAACCCGGTTAGCCCCAAGGCATTAACATAGAGAAGTCATGGCATCAGTGACAAATCCAGAAATATTTTTTAGGGTGGGCACAGAGATATTAATAACACGTAAAATCTCAGGGTGGGGACAACTAGTAAAATACGTAACTAAGATCAGGAAATTTGGATGTCAACGGATTCAGCTGAAAATTTCCTCTATTCAGTTCCCGTTACTGAAAGAATGGAAATTGAAACTCATACCACAAGAAACAAAGAAAGTAAACAGATTCCGCATGCCATGGATGATGGCATCATGATTTAATAAGCTTCCTTTTTCGAACCATTTGCGTGAGACACCAGCTTGCTAACCAACTTTACTGGACATCTTAAACAGGACCAAGAAAGACCAACATCTGCTGGGGTTCCAATCTTAATGGCTAACCCGTCAAAAAGTAAACTATATCTAGTTCTAATTAAAAAGAAGCTTACCCTTTGGAGTATGCATAGTCCCCATCAACTTGCAACAAGAAGAAGATATCATTCCCATCGTGTAAGGCCTAAGACAATCCAGCAAAAACGTTTGACATCAAAACTCATGGACAAATGTTCTTCCATTTTGAAATTCAAGCAATAGGCGATAGCATTTACCTTCGCTGTCATTTTCCCATCTTTGTACTCGTGATCCTCGTCGGGGTCAAGAGCAGGGAGGAGAGAGAACTCGAACCCATCAATGTCTTTCCAATCATCGGCGTGACCATCGAGGGTTATGACTCCGGGTCTGAAATCCGCATGGACTTGGATCTCCGAGTTTGACTAGCAACTCCACTCACCAGATTCCTCATGCGAGATGACTCTTCTGGTTAGCCCGGATCCCAACACCAATAACGTTAGCAGGATGAGTCGAAGCATCATCGTCGACCACGAAATCTCGTTATTGGAGCGATTTCTTCGGATTCCGTCTCTTGTTTTACAAATTTAAATCGGTCCACATCCAATAGCCGTCGTTGAATCAGATTCACACTTGACCTTTTAATATTACAAAATTATACAGTAATTGTTCGTTGTATTACAATTTCCTTGCATCTTCATTTGTTTGAATAGTACTACTACTAGTTTTAATCACAAGGGTAAAACTATCAATTTCAATCTGTATTAATATTTAAAATTTTAATTTTTTTAAAATCAGATCTAACGTTTATTTTTCTTTCATTAAAGTACCAATCATTAAAAATTTAACGCATTTTGTACCTATTTTTTTATTTTTTAAAATTTAAAGTTAAATTTGAAACAAATATACTAAAATAAAATAAAATCTAAAAATTTTAATGACCGATACTAAAATAAAACAAAAACTACTAGTTTTAAAATATTAAAATGAGCTAAAATTAATAATTTAAATACTAAAAATATAATTTACCCAATCACAATTACATAAGTACTAAACTTCAATTCCAATGTTTTCATATAAAATACACAAACATAACCTTTTGAGATAATAATGTTTTATTAAAATATAAATTCATCTGATTATTTGTGATAAAATTTTGTTTATATCTTGAATTAATAAATTAAATTAAATATTATATTGTCCCTAATATATAACACTCCTTCAACTAATCACTCTAAGTGGAATTTATATCAAGTTTTATAGACCTTTCCCTTTAAATTTTCACCTTTTTTTTTCTTAACCTGGTGATGGATGAAACACCATGCATCATGCATGTATTGCACCACACCCGCCTTGTTTTTTTACCGATCTTTCTGGGATTTTTTTAGAGTACTCGAACTGCGTGGATGTGCGACACTTGCCCTCATAATTTGTGGATAGGTGTGTAATTCGCCTATTGTCTCTTGACTTTACCAATAACGTAACATTATCCTAAAATGCAATCATTGCATTATTTATAATTTACGAATCAATGGAAAGTAAAATCTATCAAATAAAATGGTATAAAATTATGTGTCGATTTTAATATTATATTAAAGCACAATTTTTTAAATAAAATTAATTACTACTTTCGACCATTCAAAATTTCAATAAAATTTAATTAAACATTTATTATTCATTTGACTTTTAGAAATCTACAATTTAAGATAATTGTTATAAACATATTACCCAATTCCTAGGTCCTACCACTGACTGTTGCTTTTCATTACACTAATAAATAAACCTTTTTAGAATAATTTAAAATTACGATCACAATCAATATAAGTAAAACAATTGCAGTCATAAACACCATGGAACTAACAATCAAAATATATTTAAACCGCAGCATCCCTCCGCCTAAGTCTAATACATACTTTACAAAGCTGCAACTACAGTCCTTTACTAAAATAAACCCAAGTTAATGTGTTCCTGATCTGAGTTTTCCTATCAAAATCACAACAGCAACCAAAGTGTCCATAGCATGCAGATGCTGCCACCTGATTGCAGTTAAACACACGTTGGAACCACAACAGGACTTGTTTCAGACTTCATTTCCAAATGGTCCAGTCCCTGGAAAATCGGAATCAGCCCCCAAGTGAATGACATAATAAGGAAACCGAGTTTGACAAGCAGCATCCACAGACGCAAAATACATCTAGAAAATTCTATGAAGTTTTTGCATTAAAATAAATAAAAAAATCTGTATCGGTTGTTCATCAGTTACTTTGATTGCAAGGACTCTGAGCTGGAAAAGGGTGCAACGAGAAAAATGAAATAACAAGAAAAGTTTAAACAAAAAAATATAGATAAAATAACTTCAGTGACCAAAAATCTCAGATAATATACGATTTTGATCAACTTTTTTTGGATTTGCGAAAATGACCAACAAAATCGCAATGCGATCTCTAATTCGCATTGCGATCTCCACTATCGCAAATTCGCGTTGCATTTCGCGTTGCGATAGTTGGAAATCGCGTTGCGATTTTCCATTTCGCGTTGCGATAGTTGAAAATCGCGTTGCGATTTTCCATTTCGCGTTGCGATTTTCTATTTCGCGTTGCGATAGTTGAAAATCGCGTTGCGATTTTCCATTTCGCGTTGCGATAGTTGAAAATCGCAACGCGATTTTCCATTTCGCATTGCGATAGTCTACAATGTCGTTGCGATTTTCCAAATTCGTTGCGATAGTGTACAGTTTTTGTTGCGAAAGTCTACAGTTGTCGTTGCGATTTTCCAAATTCGTTGCGATAGTTAAAAAAAGATTTTGTTTCTTAAGAATTTTCTCTAAAAAAATAGTATCCGCGCGGACGTATCGAAGACACGTATTACCACGACGACGACCACGAGACGAGACGGACGGACGGCGGCGGCGGCGCGCGAGAGTCTCCCTTGTTCTCTATCACTCAACAAGGAAGTGAGAAAGCCAAGCCTTAAATACCATTCCCAATAGTGTTTCCAATACTATGTGGGATTTGAGCATTACCAACACTTGTTCCCAATACTATGTGGGATTGAGCCTTAAATAGTGATATTATTTTTGAATGTTTTGCTTAAAATTGCAATAATCGCGATTGATTGTAGATTGACTTTTAATTATGACATATTTAATCGTATAATACTAATGCAATTGGTTGCTGATTCAGTTGTTTTAAGGTGCATGATTGTTAATTGTTTCCTGAATAATCACATTGTATTGGAAACAAGTGTTGGTAATGCTCAATCCCACATAGTATTGGAAACACTATTGAGAATGGTATTTAAGGCTTGGCTTTCCCACTTCCTTGTTGAGTGATAGAGAACAAGGGGGACTCTCGCGCGCCGCCGCCGCCGTCCGTCTCGGGTCGGGTCTGGTCTGGTCTGGTCTGGTCGTGGTCGTGGTCGTGGTAATACGTGTCTTCGACACGTCCGCGCGAATACTATCGCAACGCGAACTGGAAAATCGCAACGCGATTTTCGCAACGAATTTGGAAAATCGCAACGACAACTGTAGACTATCGCAACGCGAACTAGAAAATCGCAACGCGATTTTCAACTATCGCAACGCGAAACGGAAAATCGCAACGCGATTTTCAATTATCGCAACGCGAATTTGCGATAGTGGAGATCGCAATGCGAATTATAGATCGCATTGCGATTTTGTTGGTCATTTTCGCAAATCTAAAAAAAGTTGATCAAAATCGTATATTATCTGGGATTTTTGGTCACTGAGATTATTTTCTCAAAAATATATTGTAATTTCTAACCATTGTAGAAAAAGGTTGTTCAACTTTGGGTTTCTGATGCATTGGGCTGGTCTGAAGCTGCACCTCTGGACTTTGAGAAACTTGGTCTGCAAGACCAGTCAAGTCGGGCTGAATATGTTCACCTGATTTTGCTGCTTCTGCAACAGTTTCTCAAATACTGCGAATTCCTCTGGCTTATTCCATTGCAACACAGATTGCTAGTCACTTGGAAAGAAAAACTACAAGCTGCAAAATGCAACAACCGAGTAAGGCAGGAAAATTATTCTGCTTTCACAAGTGACGCAATTATAACAGTACTTGTTCCCCTATGGGCAGGTGTATTCACTCTAATCACACTCTTGCAAAGTCTCAAGACTCTGCGGTCCTGCAGGCGCAACTGAAGTAGCAGCAATTGCCTGGCCACTTCCACTCTGTGGAAACTGAAGAAACATGAGAAATTGGAGTCGAATTTTCAATTAAAGCACATTATCATAAGAGGAAAAAATGAACAAAGATAAGTGAATAAAAAGACGAGTGTTAATATTATTGAAAGGGATCCTTTTGATAGGCATCTACATGGGCAAATGACATTGACATGATAGTTACATCTGTTTCCTATTCAAGTTCAACAGATAAAAGCTCCAACAATAAATTGGATTCTCAAGCCACATTTGTGCTTGGCATTTAACATTTCCAGACTCCTATAAAGAAAATAATAAAATAAAAATACTTTCTCTAAATTTATAAAATAAACCTTGAACCTCTAGCTTGGGCACATTTGAATTCTGCTGGGCTATAACCTGTGATGATGGTGGTATAAGAGGCAACTGTTTCTGCTCAGAGACAGCTGGGTGAGATGATTGAGAACTTTCCTGTGGAGTTTGTGTTTGCTGCAATGGCAGTGAAGTTGGTTGTGAGTGTTCGTGCTGAACTGGAGAATATGATTGGTAAGTACCATGACATGCTGCAACTTGAGGGTTTTTCCAATGAGAAACACCCCGTGGTTGTGAATTTGTAGAAATGTGTTGCATAGGATATGATGCATTGGGTGGCATACGTCCTCCCATTGAGTCACCGAGATTGGGAACAGGTCTGGGACAAGCAAACAACAAAGACGCTCCATCAAATTTCTTGAACATGAATAAAATGTTAAAAGTAATAAAAAAATTATGGGAAAAGAACTTACCTCATAGCAAATTCTTGAGGATGCGAGCCAGAAGTTATGCTATTAAAAGCATAATTGCCCCTGGAAATAGAGCAATATGTTAACATAGTTTAACTATGAAAGAGCATGCTGTGTTAAAGGACTCAACAAAATAATTCTCTATAGTTGAAGGACTATTTTATAATTTTTAATAATTGAGGGATTTAGTAAAGTAATATCCTATATTTAGAGGATCATTTATGTAATTTAACCTAAAAATTATGTATCAAATAATAATTTTATATTACATCAAAATTTATAAGATTTTCATAGAAAGATGATAGTGAGAAACTTATTAGGGATGTGAAAATATAAATTTCAAAAGAAGAGGGTTTAAATGAAGATTATAAAAAATAAGGGTTACAAATGAAATATTTATTAAAAGAAAACCTCGAAGATGTGTCCCAAAAACAGAAGTAAAAGCCGCTATCACAGCCACAGCCCTAGAAGATTTGATATTCGTCGTATAAGTCGTTCGCCGCTCAGAAGGTCCCCCCCCCCCCCCCCGGTATTTTATTTTTTTTCACCGGTGGAACTGATTAATTGCTAATTGCTACCTGGAATGAATTTTCTGTATTGCAGTTTTATAAATAGATTTATGGGAAGCCAATTCAAAACCTATGAATTCTGCTGGAAATTGTTAGCTTATTAGAATTATACATGTTCCCTGCGTTTTTTTTTTGGTTCTCAAAATTTTGCTTCCAGATGATAGATAACGATGAATGTAATTGGTTGGGCAGGGTATTGTATATGGTTAGTTTGTTTTAATATCAATGGCAGGCAGACCAGACCCAGATATCGATGATGATTTCAGTGAACTTTACAAGGAATACACTGGTCCGATAGGGTCCGCAGCTTCCAAGGCACAAGATAGGGTGAAAGAAAACAAACGTCCTCATGCTGGTTCAAATGAGGAAGAAGAACAGCCTGACCCTAATGCGGTGCCCACTGACTTCACCAGCCGGGAAGCTAAGGTTTGGGAGGCTAAATCCAAGGCTACTGAGAGGAATTGGAAGAAGAGGAAAGAAGAAGAAATGATTTGCAAAATATGTGGAGAATCAGGCCACTTCACTCAGGTTTAAATATCAATGGGTTTGTATTTTTATTTTAATAACTAGTTGCTTCAATAATGGATATCATGAAAAACCTTTGTATAATGTTGGAGAGCCCTGTTTAAGTGAGGTAGAGTATCATTTTTTTTATTTTTTGACTGACTTTCCTTGAGAACAGAAGATTTTCCCCTTGTTTCCTCAAGTGTTATTCTGTTTCATACATTTGTAGGGTTGTCCCGCCACTCTCGGAGCAAATCGCAAGTCTCAAGATTTTTTTGAAAGAGTACCCGCTAGAGACCCACATGTAAGAGCTCTTTTCACAGAGAAAGTTATTCGGGGGATCGAGAAAGATATTGGCTGCAAAATCAAAATGGATGAGAAATTTATAATTGTTAGTGGTAAGGATAGGTTAATATTGAAAAAGGGTGTGGATGCTGTACACAAAGTAAAGGATGAAAGTGATCAACGGGGTTCTAGTTCTCGCATGAGCAGATCAAGGTCCCCTGAACGAAGTCCTGTTGGTGCACGGTTGCGACGCCCTGAATCACAAAGGGCTCATTTAGGGCCACATAATTCACCACACTTCCAACAACGATTTGGTAGGCAAGATAAGGCTGTGGAAGACCGTGTCCGTGATGATCTACGGAAAATTTCTAGAGATTCTCCGCAAGGTAGGGACAGCATAGGATATGTTTACGGCATCAATATAAAGCTGGTAATCCCAGGCTCGTGACTTGTTTATTGTCTAGGTTATTATGTACTCATAATTTTTTATTGTACATATTAATAATGCTGCTTACTGCTTATCATTTGTTTGCAGCAAGAGGTAAGTTCTTATGTTCAAGCATTATGTGTACGATTCTGAAGTATTGTCAAGTTTTGGTCTGAATTGAATGAATCGTCTCTAAAACGAACTTATTTAGTGAAAGCATTTGTGGATTTCAACGGATGGATTCACTTTATGAATATAAGATTGTATGTCTAGTTAAAAGCTGATCTTTCCGCATTTGAATCAAGTGCTTACCATTCTCTTCATTTCATGAAGCTTATGGTAATGATGGAGCTAGAGGACACTCGAGCCACTCTAAATCCCCAGGTCGTTTGCCTTATGTGGGTAACTCATTTAATAACTATGAGGGTCATAATCGAAACATGGGAGCTTATAGAACTGATGGATGGGATACTGGGAGACGGGGATCTGATTTGCAATCTGGCAATCAGTTCGAATACCATGCCTTCCCTCAAACGTTAGATGAGTTGGAGTTGGAATATAAGAGAGAGGCAATGGAACTTGGGAGAATTCGTGATAAGGAAGAAGATGAAGAGAATTATAAGCATCGGGAGGTAAGATATTTATCTTGTTTGATTATCAAGAGTGCTTTTGGTGCTAAATGGTTTCTTTGATAAGCCCTGATCATTCTGGGATATGGTTAAAAAAATTAAACTTTAGTTATCAGAATGGGATTGTAATTTTTTTTGAACATTAATTAACTGCAATGAGCACCGTGAATTTCAAAATTCTGAAGCTGGAAAAATTTATTTTTGTTCTTGCTTTGTTTCTTAGTTAGTACAACATATTTTTGGAGTGCTGCATAGATTCCCCCCCTTTTTTCATTGTCTGTCTATCGGTCTATCTCCGTATTCATCTTCGTAGAGCCAATCTTACACCCTAGACCATACGTTTATGGAAAGGCATACTTCATTTAGGTTGTATATGGGGATTCTAATGGTGTGGATTGAATGTTAGAGATGACCATGTGGGGTATCTATCCTTGTCAATGAGCTGTCACATTGAATTATCTGATCTCTTTTACACCGGGGAACAAAAAGAAAGAACTGTTGCGTGGTCTTCATCATTGAATGATGCAGGCAGAGCCATTCCGCTGTTTGTTGTAGGCTTGTAGCAGTATGGAAATTCTGATTCTGACTTCCGGTTTTACAAATTTTAGACAATCAATGAGATGAGAGAGAACTACACCAAGAAATCAGCTATACTGAGGGACACACATGTAAAACAGTGGGAGGAGTTTCTTCAATTGGATGCCCAGAGGCGTCAGCAACAGGCACGGCAACAAATGTCTGCCTCAGGCTTTGGTGGTTATAAACAGCAGGCTTATTCTGAATATGATGAATCATCAGTCCATTCTCATTATGCTGGAGCTAGTTTACCCGTGGATTCTAGGGGCAGGTACCCAAATCCTATGGAAAACTATTCCTCCAGGCTTCATGACTCTTATGGTGTGTTTCAGCATCAGAGGCGTGAAGATTTTGGGAAAGCTTACAATCGATACTAAATCGATTTAATGGGCTTGATTAGGTGAGTTATTGCATGCTTTAATAAATAATGGGAAATGATTGGTTCTGTTCATCTCGTCTTTCTCAATTCCTTGGATGTTCATAATCTTGTCGAAACTTGTGGCAACTAGCAAGTTTCTTGCTGGATAAGACATTATTGGGGTGTGGATGGAAAGCGGTATCCAATTGTTTTTGTGGTTATTTCTGATTTTATTTCCGCTTTGGATTAAAGTTAAAGCTTTGCTCCAAAAATTTTCAGGGTCCATCATAACTTGGTCGGTAAGGGAGTAATACAATGGTGAGCTCAAGTCTAGGAAAGTATGTTGGCTCTGTATCGGAGTTGAGATGGGAACACTGACTCTTTGAATATCTTATTTCAGTTTGTTCCAATTTCGATTTTGTAATTTGGCTCTTAAGAATGTCGGACGAGGTTTTGGTTTTTAGCTAGAGTAGCTACGTTCGGGAATAAACCTTGTCTCGAATTGTTGTTTATTTGCATTAGCTAGTGGACTCGACATTTTAAAGAACATGAGGAAATTTCTCGCTGTTTTTGTATGGTTGGACCAATTATTAGCACCCAGTGTGTCATTATGGAGTATTGAACTGTCTATTCTCCCGAGGTTTATTTTTCTCTTGCAAGCAATTTGGTATTGTGGCGATTCTTTTGGTTTGAAGTGGAAATGTTGTATCGTGGCTTGGAAAATCAGGTTATTTGCCTGAAGAGGTCATATTGAAGCGTTCTTGGTCTTTAATTAGTAAGTTTGGTCAAGAACACCAACCAGTTTAACCATGTCTTCGTTGCAAATGCTTATGTCTGCAAGAGCATTTGGCTACAAAATGCTTGCCGTCTTCACCTTCGTTCTGGCTCATACATTGGTTTTACTCTTGATCATATAATTGAATTATTCCTTCTTTAGAAGGATGATCTATAAACCTGTTTTAGAATGGTTAAAATATGGTTTTAGTCCCATACTTTTTGTACTTTTGGAATTTAATCTTTTTTTTAAAGAATTTAGCCTCTATTGTTTATATTTAATCCAATTATTAGCATCCTTACATTTTCAATGTTACTTTTGAGTTGCATGGATGTCAAATTAGTATGTGGTGATCATATATAAAAGAAATATATATGCTATCGTATATGGTTAGGTTAGACAGATTCTTCTAAATTGGAATGTAGAAATAATTATGATTAAATTTGAATAAAAATTCCAATAAATATATTCAATTAACTTGATTCGAAATTTTCAAATACAATTTAAATAACAAAATAATATTAATCAAATAGATTAACTTATTTTTTAATTGATCAAATATTCACCTCTAAATAAAAACTCTCACTGCGGAAAAGTGGGTGCTCCAGGTTAGATCCAAGTTCATGTTCAATGGCCGAGAAGGTATTATTGCAGGTTTGAACTGTAGATGAAAGTCTCATCCAATAACATCAATGAGCAGCAAAATTGCCACCAGGGCCCTGAGCCTAGGCGTGGGGCGACCGCCTAGGGCCCATTCTTGGAGGGGCCTATTTTTAAAAAAAAAATAATTTAACTATTAAAAACTCAAATTTTTTTTATCTTTTACCCTAGAAGATATGTAAAAAGAAATGGGTATAAAGACTCCACAACATCTGGTCCCTATTTTTTTAATAAGTACTAAAAGCTGGATGACAAATATTGAAAATTGGCATGAACGTGATTGTACCATTTTTCTTACAAATGAATTATAAAATAGGGCCTCATTTCTTTAATAAGCACTAAAAGCTAGATGGCAATTGACATGAACGTTATTGTACCACTACCATTTATATTACAACTGAATTATAAAATAGGCCCCCATTTCTTTAATAAGCACTAAAAGCCGTTTCATTCTCCCCATTTTTCTCTGCAACTCACAGTTGTCTTCTCCAAAACCTTCAGCATCTCATCGACCACCGCTCTATTTACCTTAATCCAAATCAAAACTGAAAATCGCATAAATAAGGCCAAAACGCCCTTAAACAGTTAAATCGAGACTGAACTTTGGTTTCTGTTTTCTCCGATGAACCCGACTTCGATGGCCGATGGGAAGCTCCGATGACTCACAAGTAACGCTTTCCCCTTTCTCTTTGACTCTATTTTGCTTTATAAATTTTTGTTTTTATTCTTGTTGTATTCGAAATAAAAAAACGAATGGATAAAGACTCTTGTATTGATTCTATGGTTTGTGTGTTGGTTCAAGAAATTATGATTTGTCTTGTGTGTAGTAAAGTTTTGGCATATATTTTTGGTGTTAAATTATGATTTGTCTTGTGTGTAGTGAACTTTTGTTATAACTTAAATGCTTTAAAAGGATGATTGATACAATTTGCTAAGGCTCTGTTCGCTTGATGCTTTTTGATGTTTTTATTTTGGTGTTCATGTTATAACTATTAATATTTATGTCAACAGAGTCAATTATCAAATTGGGAAATTGGGTGCAATTGTTACAATTCTAATTGAAGAATCTAGGTGCAATTGTTCTTTTCCTATACTTATTTATTAGAATTAGTTTGTGTTTGACTCTTTGATGAGATGTTGCCTAAAAAACATTTGTCTGGAAGTGAAAAAAGAAAAAAAAAGGAAGCCAGAGAGGAGTTAAAGAAGTCACAAAAAGGTGTTCTTGATAAATTTGTGTTTAAAAAGGTTGATTCTCGTGAAACTTTGAATCAATCAATTGAAAATTTACATACTGAAAATTCTGAAAATGTGAATGATGAAGTGAATGATCCAATTGACTTTAATGATGTGTCAATTGATGAAAATGTTGAAAATTTAGGCATTGGTGAAGAAACACTTCCTCATTTGAATATATATGATCCTATAAATTGGGAGAATCTTGACAATAATGTGAGGGATATATTAGTTGAAAAGGGCCTATAAGAGAAATGGATCTTGAATTTCCTGTTGATAAATATTATAGACATTTCTCATATGCATGCTATTCTAGAAAATTGAGCAATGGTGAGACTAGTGATAGAAAATGGTTAGTTTATTCCAAAAATGTTGACAAAATATATTGTTTTTGTTGCAAGTTGTTCAAATCGATTAGTAATGAAAGTTTGTTAGCAAATGATGGTTAGCCAAAGGCTTAAACAACTTGAAAATAATGTTGAACATATGACTAATATGAATACTTGGAATGAATTGAGAGTTAGATTGGATAAAAATCAAACAATCGATAAAAATTTGCAAGAAGAGATTATGAAAGAGAAAGAGCGTTGGAGACAAGTGTTACAAAGAATATTCTCAGTTGTGAAATGTCTTGCTAAACATAATCTTGCATTTCGAGGATCCAATGAAAAACTATATCAAGATAACAATGGTAATTTTCTGGGATTGATTGAAATGATTGCAGAGTTTGATATGATTATGCAAGATCATGTTAGACGCATTCGGGATCATGAAATTCATTATCATTATCTTGGACATAAAATTCAAAATGAGTTTATTTCCCTTTTGTCTCAAAGTGTGAGAAATTCTATCATTAAGATCATTAAAGAGACCAAATATTTTTCCATAATTCTTGATTGTATGCCTGATGTGAGCCATCAAGAACAACTAACACTCATAGTTCGATGTGTTAATATATTAAATAACAAAGTTAAAATTGAGGAGTTATTTTTTGGAGTTTTTAAATGTGGATGATACATCTGGATTAGGACTCTTTGATGAACTACAAAATGTTTGGAAGTCTCTTGATCTTAATATTGATGATGTGAGGGGACAAGGTTATGATAACGGTTCTAATATGAAAGGAAAGCACCAAGGTGTTCAAAAAAGATTTCTTGAAATTAATCCAAAAGCATTATTCATGCCTTGTGCTTGTCATAGTCTAAATCTCACTCTTGGTGATATGGCACATTCTTGTGTTAAAGCTATTTCTTTTTTTGGAGTTGTTCAACACATATATGCATTGTTTTCGGGTTCTACAAAGAGATGTAAAATTTTACTTGATAATGTTCTTGGATTAACTGTGAAATATTTATCAAATACTCGATGGGAAAGTCTAATTAAAAGTGTCAAAGCTATTAGATTTCAATGTCCCCAAATAAGATTGGATTTGTGTGAATTATATGAATCTTGTGAAAATGATGCAAAGTCAAAAAGTGAAGCTGAAAGTTTGGTGAATGCACTCTCAAGTTTTGAGTTTTTGCTTGGTGTTGTGATTTGGCATGTCATTTTATTTTATGTTAATATGGTAAACAAGAAATTACAATCTAAGTCTATGTACATTGATACTACCATAAGGCAATTAGGTGTGATGTCATACTTTGAAAAATATAGAGATGAAGGCTTTACAACTAGTATGAACGTAGCTAAAAGTCTTGCACTTGAAATGGATGTGGAGCCTATCTTTCCCACAAAACGTCGTGTGATTAGGAAGAATTTTTTTGGAGAGAATAATGAGGATAACGAAGTTGAATCGCCTGATGAGTCATTTAGAGTCAATTATTTTTTGGTTGTGGTAGATATGGCAATTACTTTTTCGAAGCATAGATTTGAGCAATTGAAGACATCTGAAAGTATTTTTGGATTTTTATATGATTCAAATAAGTTAAAGTCATTAGATGATAATGAGTTGAAAGAATGTTGTGCTCATTTTCATTCTACCTTTTCTCATGGCAATTAATCGGATGTTGATTTAGATGATATTTTCTCTGAATTGAAAGTCTTACAAATGACTTTGCTGACACAATTGTTATCTGCCACTGAAATTCTTAAGTTTTTCAAATCTGCAGATTGTTATTCAAATGCTTCAATTGCTTATCGAATTTTATTAACTATGCCTGTGACCGTAGCTTCAGCCGAAAGAAGTTTCTCGAAGCTTCAACCGAAAGAAGTTTCTCGAAGCTTAAATTAATAAAAACGTACTTGAGGTCATCAATGTCACAAGAAAGATTGAATGGTTTAGCAACATTAGTTATTGAGAAGGAGATGATAGGAAACATTGATGTTGATGTTATTATCAATGACTTTGCATCTCAAAATGCTAGAAGAAACCGTTTCTTATGAGAATTTGTGTATGTTGTTTTGTAGGTAAGAGACGTCAATTTTCAATTGAGAGAAACGATTCTAAGAGATGATTGAAGACATAATAGGAGAAAATTGAGTGAAAAATTGTGATGTCTCTTTATATATTTGGTAAAATAATGTTGGTTAATGAAATAGAATCTACTCGTATAATTTTTAATGAAAAAATCTGTTAGACGTTAACCGAAATTTATTCTTGAATTTTAAGTTATTTGTTTTAAGGGCCCTTATCTCTTATTTTGCCTAGGACCCTTAAAATGTTAGGACCGACCCTAATTGCCACCTTACAACTGCGTCGACACCCAACTCCTTTATATGAACGACATGCCTCCGTCCATCAAGAGCTTTGCAAGTGACCCGAATGTAATTTTCGTAGGGATCGAAATCGAAGGAACTCTGTTTAAACTCCAGAATGGGTATGGGCCGAGTTGTCGAAAGAAATTTGATGTTCGTTCCATGGCCAAGGCATGGTTCCCACTAAGCTTCTATGGGAAACCTGGTCTGAAAGCCCTTGCCATCCCATAAATTGAGACAGAGTGATGATGATT